CTCTACTGCTCACTTCGTCTTCTCAACATCGCGGGTATCTACGGGGGCGATCTGCTTGTTGCATCGTCAATTCTCGACTAAATGGGCGCGTCCGCAACAGACTTGATGGAGGTATTTGAGAATGTTTTTGAGTATCCGCACCAACTAAGAGATCACGCATTTGTTCAGCAAAGAACGAACGTTGACCTTTTTATGGGCTTATCGCAGCTGTTGACAGCGTGGTTGTAGTCTGCCTTCAGCTAATGGAGCGTTTGTGCACCGCAAAGCTGCTTGTATTAACATTTAGTTGGTCATGCATACGCAACGTATGTTAGGCTAATCAACTAGAACGAGATGAGCTTGTCAGTTGGAAATGAGAGCGATAGATAGGAAGAGAGTGCGAAGCTACTAGGCGGTACGAGTGAGCCGACGGGGGAATATTTTTGCCTTCTGTGGGTATTTTACTCTCGATACTAGTAGCAGCTTCGTTGCGAAACATGAAGGTAGACCCAACAGTTAAAGATGAACAATAAGAAATTGCAAAAACCCTCAGGGTTTCAAAACGAGCTTAAAGAAGCACTTTAATACTAAGGAAAGTAAATAAGCAGTCGATCTGTGCCGGAGTGGTGTATCTTTCGTAGTGAATTTAGTATTTTGGACGCATAATAACTCGGCGTCCATTTCCTACGGCGAAATATTTTATGACAGTTATCGTTTAGCTCCCGACAAAGTCTAGCGTTTTGCCAATTAGCTGGACCTGACTCAGCTAGGCGATCTTACTAGGGCTGCGTGAAGTATAAATTTCGTTAATATTGAAATATGAATAAGGCTACCCAAACTGTGACTTTTGCTTGTCAAGGTAATTGAAGATAATAATGGGCAATTTGCAAAGCAAAGCATGTGGTCATAAGGATGCATGTTATATGCTAATTCCTGCAGGCCAAGTAGAGAATTACAAATGAGATCAGGTGCCATCGTTTTGATGAATCAAGATGCAGATACCAAGGGCAAGCTGGCTGAAAAACAGGATCCAGTTGTCTAACAGTTTCCGACTTGTTTCAAATTATCTAAGCACTTCATCGTCATTAAGCACAGTACAATTAAGCGTGCTGTTTACATTCCTAATTGACTGAGTTGAGCGACCCTTATCACGTCTGAGCTCCTCTCGGGTGCCTGTATTATAGTTATGAATCTAATTTGGTACAGGACCGCAAATTTACATCACCTTTATTTCTAGTGTCGACTTCATCGTTTACCGTTAATTTTACTAATAAAATTATATGATTCAATGATTTTAGATAACTTACAGGCGCTTCTCAGAAATCAACACTGACTAGCTAAGCTTCGTCTCTCGATACGCAGCTTATATAATAATGTGCCTTCGACAGCGGTCGGCGATGCAGCCACTTCAGATGGCATCTCGTTTCCCATCGAACGCTCAATTGAAGATTCGCCCAGTTTTCGGATATGTTTGGCGACTCCTTTCATCTATTGAACTCGACAAATATGACTCTTCAAAATGGCTTTTGTTAACATTTCCAAAATTCGGCCTTGACGCTACTTATTAAGCACGGGATTTTTTGCTTTTCAGCGAGATAATCCGCATTTCTCTGATCATAAATACCGACTCAAGCATAATGGGTTGGGCTTTGCTGGGTGTTCGCTGTTACTTCAGATAATGCATGAAGCGAGGAAGGTGAATGCTGATTCTGCATTGCCGCTTTCGCAACAATCTCTTAACGGGCATCGGTTTCACATGTGTTGTTAATTTTCACGATACTTTCGACACCGCGACTTTACGTTTGATGATCAGCTTCTTTCGTTGTATGACAATCCTTTTTTAAATTTCAGGTGAACTCAAGCGACCGGCTTGCGTGTACGAATATAGTGGATTTCTTCGTTTTCCTTTCACATTTTTTTGTCGGTTTCCCAAAAGATAGTTTAGCAGAACAGTCACATAAATTTTCCGAATCCCGGATTAATTGTTACAATAGAAACACACACGACGGACTAGGTTTGAATGTCGTTACACTGATAGCATGACATGCGAAATGATATATTCTAAGTCTTCTTACAGCCATCCTCGCGGCTATCTTGTTTGCCACATACCGTCTTTTCCAGCTTAAGAGTGTGCGCGAACAACTTGGGGCAATCAACGAGCAGATTACGCGATAGCAATGATTTTCGATATATCAAAACTGTTTGACACGTTTGTCAGTTTAAAAACGCTATAGGCTTTCTGCATCAGCATCTGGACACTAGATATCGTGTGCTTCGCGTCACATCACACTCAGATTCTTCAGCCAAGCTACATGTATTGATAGTAAACGGAGGATTTGCTATCCCACACGTTAGTACGTCGTCGTTCTTTATTGCTGCTGGGGTGATTCCATTTTAGAAGCAGAAATGTTTGTGGATCAACAATTTTCCACATGATCGTCGCAATAGAAAGCGGACAAAGCACCCCTTCCTGCCCCTGTACGCTTACGGGTACATGATGTTGATTCGATGATGCCACTTGCAGAGGTTGGTCAATCGCCCTGCGATGGCATATTACCATCTTTAACACGAAAAGTATTGCTAGGCCGAAATCCAAATACGTCTTACGAAATGGGGTCAGTCTACAGCAACAAATTTAAAATAGAACATGGACTAATAACTAAACATATCGATCTCCTCTTCAGCTTCATCTGCTCGAGGAAGATTCTCATCCTGATTTGGTCTTGAACTCGCCGTTTTGCAACTTTCGATAACCTGGACGTTGGACTTCCAGCCGAACTGAATGACTGTAACCGTGAGATTGTCTGTGCTTCCTTTCTTGTAAGCCGCCTTGACAACCGCATTAGCGGCAGCTTTTGCATCGTAAAAGTGCGGCAATGTGATGTCCACGGCATCTTGCGCGCTTAAAACGTCCCAGACACCGTCGCAAGCCAAAATAAGGAATAAGTCATCAGGATGGACCTCAACTCGTTTGATTTCTGGCTCACAAGATACAAGAGCAGTCGGAATTTTGAGCGATCGGTCACCGAATGCACGCGACACTGCCAAATACGTTGATGACTCTCGATCTATGGCCAACCCAGCCCCGGCTGCTGAATACACGCGTGGAATTCCAGCAATCTTGCTTACAAATCCACCTGCTTTTTCAATTCGTTTCTGTTCGTCGATACGATCTGGTTTGTGGTCACTTGTAAGTGCAATGCCTCGACCACTCCGACACATGACAGCACGGCAGTCGCCTACATTTACGAGGTAGAAGCTCAATTCGTCTATCTGTTGGGATTTAATTTCAGCGCTTTCCTCCGCGTCTTTTTGGTCGTGTAAACGAGCTGTGTCTGCCAGGAACCAAGCGAGCAGGGCCGTCGACCCATCTTGCGTCTGATTTTTCATTAGAATTTGAGAATCGATTCGTGCAAAGGCATCGCGAAAGCATTTTAAGAAAAGAGTGTGGTTTTCTTGGCACCATGTCCTTCGCTCAAGTTCGCGTGCTGCTTGTTCCTTATCGAGTTGCGATACTTCACTATCAATCTGTGAGATAGCGTTAGCAAGTTGATCGACCAATTTATGCACATCATCAGTTGACTCAGAAAGTTTCAAATCTTCCAGCTCTACGAGTTGTTTACGTAGCAAATTCACTTGCTTAACAATTGCATGCTTGCGCTCATCTTCCTGGCGTGACATTTCTCGAGATCTCTGTAACGTTGAAAGCGCTTTGGCTCCGATGCGTTGATGTAAAAATGATGCTACAGTCCTTATAAGATGGCTCGACAAGAAGTCGGCGGTGAATGTCCCACCATGACCATCGAATACTCCAAACACTTGCCCAGGGAAGTAGCTAGCGCAAGAAACATGACGATCTTCATTACTTGTCTTCATGCCAGCCCAAGACTCGGTTGCGAAACGCAATCCAGGGATCGAAAACTCTCCATACTGTTTTTCCTCCAGCATATTTACTTGATCATTTGGTTCGTTGTTCATTGTGGACTTGTTTATTTCAGCTAGTGTGTCATTTTCGATACCGTCCACTTCATCATATTTTCGCTTTGCCAAAGACATACGACTTTTAATAGTGGGTTGAGAGGTATGTAGAGTCGCAGTATCTACGGGGTGCAACGATCGACACTGTTACCCAAGTGTTAGTTGATCTCATACCCTCAACGAATGAACATTTAAAGTTACAAACTACTCAACAGAGTGTAACTGCAGTCCAGAATATACGCTTGAACTGCTTGTTACTCCACGATCAACATTGCACAATAAAGGGCAGATACTGGGTTGTCAAGCAAATTAGATCCTCAAAATCAAGTAAATTCTTGTAATATGAGACGCACATGGAGTTGGGGTGAGATTTTGGCCATTGCATCCACAATTTTTCAATGGCAGATATAGCATGCTCGTGAATCGCCAAAACGCAAATTGCATCGTATCCACCCGCTTTAATTCGACGTTAGCTTAATAGATGCAAATATTAGGCACAAACACATACCTCCAGGAACTCCAGCAATGAGAACACCAGGGATTGCCAATGTTGCATCCAGAATGGCAGTTTGCTCAGGTGGTTCAATCGGAACACCGGCTAGATTCCCCATTTTGCTATGTCATAAAAAGTATACCAAAACGATGATATAATGTAGTCAATATAGAAGACACATTTTGCTTGTAGAACTGGATGATAAATCTACCGCATGAGGTCTCGAATATGAGAAAAGGCATCACTGATATTTAGAAGAATAGGTCCGATGTCTGCATCGATCGTACTCCACTATACGCAATCAGCAGGAGTGAATGAACAGGCAGATGATAAGGTTTACCTGCTCACGACGATGAAATGCTATTGCTTTCCAGTCGACGGGAGTGCTGCAGCGATCTTCCAGTTCGCAAATATCAGCAAGACCTTGTTCAACCTCCATACTGTAACGGTTAAGATTATTCATCAAGGTCTTTGCCGTTTCGTGTTGCTCCTGTTGCCACTTCATCACTTGCCGAACCATGGATACGGTCGCTGAACCGGATGACACATCTCCCATGATCAAGTGGCAGTTTGAAGGTAATCGAATTGGTTTCTATCAGCAAAATACACACGTTAAATCACCGAGAACACAGCAACCGTTAAATCATGATAGTGCAAAGCGAAGCTGATACCACGCGACTTGAAGTGTTCCACAGCTCGCGATTTTCAACACAATGCCCAATTGCATCCGGTATGAGCGCATTTTCAGACATTAATGCGTCGATAATTGAGGCCGGAAAACGAGTGTACCGCTGTGAGCCAAAACATGCTGCCGAAACATCAAATCCGCTTCCGATCTAAAACATACTTATATATTTGACATGAGTATTGACTTTATCACCGAAAAAGCTGAATTTGGTACAACACACTTTGCGCTGCACGTAGCAGTGGCTCAACTGAGCAAGATTGTGGACCACCTCGAGATCTCTCTCCTCTTTTTCAATGTTCATCGCTGGCACGAAAAAGGCAACAAGCGCTGCAACTAATGAAGTCACCAGAGCGGCAGAACTCCCCAAGCCTGTCTTTACTGCAACTCGCTCACCATCGTGCTCTACCGAAAATTAAGATTAGTCAAATCATAATCTTATTTTAAGGCTTGGCTCATATTTTGATTCTACCTTTCATTATTGGAGGTAGAAAAGGTTGAAGAGCGTTCAGATTGGCACGAGTAATTGGAAGGTTGGCATCTTGCAACTGATGAACAACCGCTCGAACAATGTCAGCATTTGATCAAGAAATCTTAATGATAGGTACCCTTTCCACTTGCGAGTAAAAATCATTTTCGCCATAAAGTGTGACATAAACACCAGTCTTCGTTATCTTGAGCTGTTGATACGTATCCTTGCTTTTAAAAGCGTTCAAACCGGCAATACCGTTCACCACACATAACACCGTCTTCTCTAAGTATGAGTTGCAGTGTGAATTGTCCCTATCAAATAGATCGGTGAAATTTGAGCTACCATCACGACTCGTAGTGCATATTTAAGTCACCTCAGTCGAAATCGAAAACGTTTGTCGCCATTTTCCTCAATCCAGCCGTGAACTATTTGGCTAAATTGCTTACTTTCTATGGTTAGTGGGAACAAACACTCCCACTCACTTGAGCTAGTAGACATAACGTCAGTAACATCCAACTTCTACAATCACATTAAGTTTAGCAGTCGCTTTTTAGAAGAACACTTTTGCTTACAAATCACCTTTGCTTCCACTTGAGAGTAAAATCGTGCTGTAGTCGAAAGAACAAGACCCGAATAACGCTCGTCTAGTATCAAATATCCACCCACAAGCAGCACTTTGCCAGGCGCAGACACACACTTAGCTTCGAGGCTTGTCATTCTTATCGTATGGTGATTTGATGACTCACAGTGCTCAGTATACAGGGGTAGGCGCTGTAAATATTGATGGCCAAATATTCTGATTGGCCGAAACCAAAATTCTTAACCCTCACATCCACGCTGCACTCGCAATATCCCCGTCTCGACCGGCCATGGTCTCTTCCTCGGTGCCGTACGTAGTACCGTTCACCATCTAGGATTCTATCCATTTCTTGATCGATGCGTTTTTTGCCTAGCTTGGAAAATGGTAGACCTATGCAACAGCGTGCGGCTGCTGCAGCGCAGGTGTGTTCACATACAAACATATACCTCTAAATATTTGATAGATGTTTAATCGAGTCGTACCTGTTTATAAATCATCAGGCACTCCTACCAGGAAGGACTATCTCTCAACAAGAGATACAAGCAATGCTTGAGAAGAATGAGGCAGCGCTCAAAGGCTGGACTGCGCTTCACAAGCAGCAACGTACGTCGTAAACAGAATACTCTGTTGTGATCTATCATTTGATACTGTGTATGTTGCTGTAGCTGCAAAGACGAGTCCAGTTGAACACAAGAAGTGGGTGCGAAGATGTCTGACATTTCGGCAACACGTTGGAGCTAGGCTCGAAGTGTTGGCTTCGCTGGCGGATAAGCAAATCGCTCAAGAAGATGACAAGAAATTAGGACATCGAGTCTCTTTAAATGCAGCAACGACTAGACAAGTCGGGAAGACTCAGGGTTCGAATACTACGTTTTCTCAGCAGCAGTCAATGCCTGAATCGCAACAACCTTTTTTGTTACCGCAGGATTCGGCAATGGCAAGCAGCGTTCCACTTGCCATGACAACAGCAACTTTAATAGAGCCACCAACAGTGTTGACTTCAGTGTCAACAGCGATGCCGAATATGGCGGCAGCAACAATGTTCCCGGAACCCCCTTTGCCCACGGTGGGGCTTTCATCATCAAACCCCAACATGTTTTTCCCAACAGAGCCAATCCACCCGCTACAGACATCGTCTGGTTTTGGACCAACCACCTCAATATCTGGCGCAGCATCAACTGTAGACTACCCTATGAGCTCTGGGGCTCAAACGTTTACGTCTAACACGTGCATGACTGCATTCAGTGAGCCCCTAAGCTCATCAGCTTCATATATGAATCCACCAAATTATTTGATGGGCGGCAGTATGATACCCTCCCAACAATTCATACCGATGTCTATGCCAATAAATTCGGCGGTGTCTGGAAGTGAAAATCTATTCGCTAATAACAATTATAGCATGGCGTCTGCATCAAATAGCGTCAACACTGAAATTGGCAACAACAATAGTAGCACAAACAACTTTGCAATGAATCCGTTCATGACACCGTTTGGTTTCGGGCCTGAAGCAAGCTTCCAGTCAGCAGAGATTTCCATCGGCAACATACCAAGCATGTCCATCGAGCAGCAGCAAGCTATCAACTCTTTAAACGGATGCAATCTCGGAGCGCAAGGAGCCCCGATGATGCAAACTAGTTATGAATATGGAGGCATGTCACAGCCTTCAAATATTATGCCACAAGCGATGCCGGATCAAGCGTTGCAGCCTACACCTCATCCATATCACCAACAACGTCAGCTATCCCAACAGCATCACCCTGTGGGATTTATGAGTATGACACCCGACTCAGCGATATACGGTGACTGTAACGTAAACATTTTTGAAGGACTGACAGATGACGTGTTCTTTCCAATGCAATGACCAACATACTTTCAACTCTCGATTTTTTTACATCTCCGCGTATAGCGCTTGCTGAGCTCATCATAATCTCGGCAAAGCAAATCGTAAAGTCGCTCTCGTCGTTTTGATACGTTTGCGGAGGCGAGTAAGCGTGAGCGTATGGACATCGGAAGATTTCGCGAGATGGCGTTGACGCGGCCGACACAGTCACTTGAGATTAAATTCTGGATTTTGCTCGATTTGTTACACAGTTTATGAGCGTTGGCAGCAGCACGAGTTTCTCGGTCAATCAAAAGTTCATTTCGCTTTGGAAAGCTCAAATTTTTCAATTGAATTGGGTAACACGGTTGCTGAAGACCAACGGATCGGTTGACGGAATTTTTCGAATCGGTGAGTTGGTGAGGATGAAGATGCGGTACTGCGAAGTCGTCATGCGCGACAGATTTCGCAAAATCTGGCTTGGTTTTTCGCTCCAGTGGTGAAGTTGAAATTTGTAAACTGCTTATCAATTTAGAAGATTCTTGATCGATCAATTTCGGCACTGAAGTCGTCGAAGCTGGCTCTGCGAGGTTTATAATTGGTAGGCTGAGTGTCTGAACGTGAAGCATTGAAACGCGAAGATTGGAATTTCTTGGAACAGAGTGATGATCGTGGTCCTGGTTCCGGTAGTGCTCTACAAAAGTTTCACTGTCTGGTTGGCTCTCGGTCTGGAAAGGGTTCTGATTGCTGACGTACTCTTCATACCGAAAAAGATCTTTGTACGCGATGAAGAACGCACGGGTATGTGATATAGGCTCCATGTTTTGGCAAACCGACGTGTGATTTTGTTTTGGTATTCATAGTTGAAACTGTATGCGTCGGTTTACGAGCTTCTTACCATAGCAAAACATTTTTTCTTGTCCAACTCTACCAGCGCTACTTCTTGGTCTGACTGGTGACAAATTGCTTACGCTAATGAGCTTGTACGTGGAATGCATCCTTCCGAAAGTGCTTTCGAAAGAGCGCGAATCAACGTCAACTGATACGGCTGACAAATTAAAAGCTCGAAAGAATCGTGCTCCAGAAAGCAACGCAGATCCTGAGTTGTCTGAAGCGGCTATACTGTCTCTTGGAGAACACCCAGCAATTTTGCATGCTCAAGATGAATGTCGGAGTCTCATGACGGGCAACGATGTTTGCGTGCTTGAGGATGAAACTGTTAAGGAAGATGTCGTACAGGTGTTGGGCAATGACGTTGAGCTTGTCTTTCCCGTTAGTAACAGCTTCCGTTATCTCGTCATGTTTATTAAAAATATGGACCTTTTCTTCGAGTTCCAAGTCGAGATTCTGGACGACGCGCACAAGTATCGAAGTTTCACTGTGACCAATACACGGTCACTAGCTCGGATCGAAGGCTTGCGATGCCAATTACCGCTCGCGTTTGGAACACATCCTAGTTGGCGCTACCTCTGCATGGATCTACAGGATCTCACGAACCAAGCGTTCGGGACCCAACATGTGACAACAACGAAGGTGCGTGTGGGTGGCAACTGTCGTCTTCTTCGCATATTTTTTCAAGATGAGCGCTACGCTGATGCCGAATTACCCGCGCATCTCACTTTTCTGGGTAGCTTTTAAAATAAGATGAGATTAGTATGATGATCACACACAAATTAGAGATGTTCGCTCTATTGCCCTAGAATATTGTCTACTTAGTAGTGTGAGTGACTAGAGATACGACAGATTGATCGTATACTGCGGGTCTCGCTGATTGCGTTGGCGCGATACTTCAGTAAAAATGCGGTGGTTGAGCCACAACGACTCTAAACTCTTAAAGCGAGTCATATCCAAACGAAGTGGACGGCCACGTTGAAGCCCGACGTCTTCTTCACCGTGAGAGTCTACGTAAGGGCTCGGAAAATACGCAGCCATGCTGCCTCCAACAATTGCAATGCGACATTGCTCTAGGAGAAGAACGATGCCCACACCACCCCCGCACTCAGCAGCATGGCGTGTGCATTCCCCTACAGGTGGTCCATGTGGCATGAACGCACGCGTGCAGCAAGAGTCTCCACAGCAGAGATACTCACCACAAATCAAGCATAAACCAGGATCACAAGGTGCTTTTTCACATCTTGTGCATTTACGCCCTGCCATTTGACTGTACAGCTCGTCGTATTGAATCGGCAAATCAATCAAACGTGGCCGAGTGGGCACTTCGCGCAAAATGAACATGCTAGCAACATAGGCTTCACTACACCCTTCCGTGTGTTCGCACTTGTCTCCAACCTTCGAACTCCCCAGAAAAGTTTTGCTTAGCATGCGATCCATGCACCAATGCCAAATTTGATCAAACGTAGCGTCGGAACTTTGAGCGATGTCGACTATCGTGGGGATCTGAGCCATCTTGCTGGTGGCAGAGTCAAATGTTTCTGCGTCAACAAGGCAGCGCCAAAAAAGCTTCATTCGCCGAACAAACGAAGCATTCGATGGCAAAATGCGTTGAAGCCGCGACACAACATCCGATACCGAAGTCAGAGGTTTCAATTTCTCGGCTGGAAAAGCTTTCGACATTCGCTGCAAAAGCTGCAAGGCAGCAAACACCTCAGATTCTACCTCATCTGAAGCTTTCAATACTTCCAACAGCTGTTGAACAGATCCAACAGCTTTTGCAGCGACATCCATCGAATTTATAGCACGGCCACTTCTTGTGCGGCGTGCTGCAGATGCTGAGGCGTCCACTTCTAGTGCTCTCTGCTCTTTTGATTTTTCTTTCTCGCTTAATGTCATAAGCGAATTCTTATCTTGAAACAGAGATGTTCCTTCTATCTTAGTAGGTTCGAAAAATTCCGAGTACAAGCGCTGCAGTAAGTCTGCTGCGGTGAACACAGGAATAAATTGCCGAATCGTACTAAGTTTGTCGGCAATCACACTCGACACCACGAAAGCCTATAACAAAGCGCATTTAGCACAACTTGAACTTCCTAGTAATTATTTGTTTTATGACAAGACGTCACACCAGCCTACCGTGAATGTATCGGCCACTAGCAGACCCAGAATAGTACCCCGAAGACAAGCATCGATCGAACCGAGTACCTAAGATTGGAGAGCAGAAGTGAGGACGCGATGACAAATAGATAAATAGATCGAAATATTTAGTTACCTTTGTAAACTTGCGATACTCTCGCTTTGTCTCAGTGTTGATCGGACAGCAGCGTTTAGCGGCCTCCCATATCACTTTGGCGTCGGCACAGTGCTCTAACAGCGAGCATGTCCATCGGCAGAATTTTGTCACGCATGTCAGCGACTCTAGCTCCTTTTCTAGCGATAAAGGGCATTGATCTGTCAGTGGATCGAATGGTTCATTCGTTTTTGAGACAATTCGGTGCTCTTCTTCAGCAACAACCAAAAACGATGCCAACGTATACGCGCACGCCGCCCACAAAAAGGGCGCACCCTTCTCTAGACTTCCATGAGGTTCCCAAAGCGTATCCTCAAAGTAATCCCTCCACATATCATGCTCTGTTTCATTTTCATCGTCGTCAAACACTCCATCGCGTCCAAGTACAGAGCGGTACCATCCGGGCATCGACAGTTGATCTGTCACAATCTTGTCCCAAGTAGCAAGTTTGACTTGCTCACCTTCTGTGATCGAACGCTTTTGTTCCCGCTCATCATCTTTTACGATTGAAGCGCGGGGCTCAGATGTCGGGATCAAGAAATTGCTTAACGTTTTACATAGCGGGCAGAGAAACTGCGTCATAGCTGAATCTGGATCAATTGCTTGAACACCATCAAATTCTTCACCACGCATTGCCTTGTCATGCAGGGACGTAATGTAACGCTCAAGACAATTAATGTGCACTGCATGCTGACACGTACGAACGTGCAGCCCGCACGGGGTAAGATAAAGTTTAGCACTTTGGTAAGATTGCCCAAATCCAGGTGGCATGCGCTCTAAACGGAAACGCGACGACGGATCTTCATCATCATTATCACTGTCATTCATTGATCCTCCGTGACCACGCGGATTGCCGCCCCTCGTTCCTGTATTTGCACGATTACCTGGTCGACGCGGCTCGACTCGACTCTCATGTAAATCTAAGCTCACTGCACCACGCATGTCCATTGGAAACAGCCGTTGGTCTTCGCGAAGATCGAGAACACCTTCTAGCACCTCTAACTCTTCATCCGTTTGCAAAAGCTCGCCCTCAAGCATCGGTATATTTCCATTACCAAAGCGAATTCGATCAGCGCGAGGGCGACGAGTCGCAGGGGTACGAGGGCTATTCTGTGCCGTATTGTTGCGAGTGAGTTGATCCTCTAGAGATTCGTCCATATACCATTCCGGGAATGACGTTGCAAGAGCACGGAATGTAGGAGACGGACAGTTATCCGACGCGTTCGAGCCACCACCTGAGCACAATTCCATCTTCTCGATCACTTTCTTTACGTGACCACGAATCTCCTTGCCATCAGCATTGAGAGCCTCGTCAGCTTCTGGTCGGAATCCTGGAGCTAACACTGTTGACTGATGAACGTAGGCTGCCATACCCATCTGCCCCTGAAACGAATTGTCATGGCAAAGAATGCATTTGTAGCAGTGCTCATTCACCACTTTCTGGTGCTTCGTCGTGGTTTCAATAGACCCTTCCACCATCAGAGCTTTGCGTTTTCCTAATGAAGAACGTCGAGCATTGCTTAGCTCTTCTTCGCCTTTCTTTTCGTCCTTCTCTTCCTCCGCGATATCAACCATCGCCTGAAAGGCGGCCTGGCGTTTAGCAACTGCAGCCATCGCTCTCTTTCTGGCTTCCAATTTGCGTTGTTCCAACGTCATTGATGTAGAATCGACCAAGCCACTCTGAGCCAAGCAACTTGTAGTCAAAAAGGAAGCTTGGGTTTTCGATTGTTTCGACTTTGCTTCGGTTGCTATTTGCTCAAAGATTTTCTTACAAGCCGGTGATTCAATTGTAATCTTCCATATGAGCCACTCCACAGTTCCAGCTTGTTCACTGTCGAGCAACGTAGTCGCCTGCTCAAGTAACTGACTTAAGAGATGAAGAATCGACATGTTTGAGATGTCTGTGTTTGAATTGCTCAAGCGTGACCAGAATCGACAGTCTGAAGTGTTCGACGCCGTGTGAACACCGTGCACTAGCATGTGTAAACAAGTCGAGACAACAGCATCCGACACGCTATTTTCTAAGCTGGAGGCCGATGCTGGCGCTGGTTCCACCGAGGAAAGGACCTTCCAAAGAATGACATGTGCGATGGCCACTGCACTGTCACACGTCAGGATTTCTTGAACTGGACGGAGATACCCAAGAGGAGGCTTTGCAGGCTTCAATGGTACTTTTGGAGGGGCATCAGGGGCAGTCTTTTTTGCCTTTAGGCGACAGGCGTTGCGATACGTTGTCCAACGATCACGTGCTAGTTCGTGTGCTTCACGATTGAGGTGTAGGAAGTATGGGTTATAGTTTTCAAGAAGACCTTCTTTTAACTCGTATCGACCAGGTTCGAGTCCCGACGGAGGCATAAAATTCGAAACACTAGCAAGAATACTTTCCAGCCGTACCGTTGGGATATCATCCTGACCTGACGGAAGAATGGCAAGATCAACAAGCTTACTAAAACACTGTGACTTTGAGCACAGCTGCTGCAGCATCTCTTCTCTCAAGAAGTCATCGTCGTAGATTGATCCTGTTGTGCTTGGAAGACTCGTGCCCATTACAATCACGAGACGCAAAAACTCTTCCAGCATTTGTTGTCGTTGTTGCTCATCAATTCCTTCCTCTAATCCTGTATAGCCAAATTGCTTTAATTGATCCTCTGCTCCTTCAATATTTGATTCATCATGGAGCATGAAATAACTGCCCAGTTGGAACCCTTCGATCATTCGTGCCATGAGAGCATCCGGGCCAGTCATGAGGACACCCAGTTGCAACATCAGTATATCGGCATCACGATAGTGAATACAGTACGGTAACGCCGAGTAATTGTATAGTTGCGCTAGCATGTTTTCGTCCCCGTTTCGACGCCACAGATTCGAGTGAATTTGAGCTGCCATCACTAAACAGCGAAGAGGCATTTCTATGAGTTCCCACTGCATGTCAGCCGATAATTTGTCGAATCCAAACATCTTCAATAGGCCGTTCGAGGCAATACATTTCGTTACACCTGACTGTTTGATGCAAATATGACGCACAGCCGCAGTCAGAAAACGGTGCAACGGGATGTGCAATGAAGTCGGTTGAGACGCAACGTTAAACTCGTACGCTGTAATTCCTGTTTCTCGACTCGCAACTTTCTTGCCCATTGATGTAAGCTTTACAATCGGACTCAACATTTTTTTCGTCAACTTTTCATTCGAACGGACTGAAGATGCAACAGTGGCATAAATAATCGGTTCAAATGCTTCAGCTAGTTTCAACTCCGTTTTTGTTTGATATTGAGACAAATCAAAACCATTCCAAGAAATTGCGAACAAAGAATGAACACGGATACCGAGGTTAAACATCGAAAGCCAGCTATCTGATTCGTATTCAACGTGATTTTGGTGGATTCCTCGGCGAACTTGTAGATCACCTCCCTATACAAGACAGACATAGTAAAAATTATTAAATGTTACTGGTAGCACAGCGTTGCATCTCACCTGTAAGGTATTTAGACACGAAAGCCAAATTTTGAGATTGTCAATGTTGCACACAAGTTCGCTTGACAAAGTACCAATATTGAATACATACTCCAGGTTCTCCACACAGTGCTGTAGCATAAACAACAGTAAACCATATCAAAAATTGCACGAATTCTAAGTGAAAAACACTAAACCTTACCTTGTATTTCTGACTACTAAGAGCAGAGTGATCAGCATTTAATACCCCTTCTATTTCATCGAACGCAGATTGAAATATCATGTTTAAGGCGCACAGCAACTCGCGAACCAACTCTATTCGTCCGGGATTCAGTAGGACTTCCTTCTTCGTGTACTGTTGTACTAGATGTGGCACAGTTAAAAATTGTACGGCAAAGTCGAAGATAGATTCACTAGAATTGCCTAACCCACGAAGATACATGCTCGTCATCGAAGCGTATGATCGTAAGTACGCTTCCAGCATACTAGCGCGAAATTGAATATTCACCAAATGCTCGCGCATAAATGAGTGCGATCGTTCCACAGCGCTCTTTTGAAGAGTAGAATCGTATCGTATCAATAGCGTAAGAGCTGACGAAGTTGTTGGTGAAGCTTCAACTTGATTTGATGAGGAATATTTGGCTATGACACCGTCAAGACTTACTCTAATTTTGTCATGGCGGTGAAAAGAAGGGCTTAGTGACACTGCCTTGACAAAATTTTCAATTAAAACGTTTTTCCAGCTGACGCGCCTCTCTCCAGCAGTGATGCCGGAAGACGCCACACTACTGGTACAACCTTCAGCGCAAAATTCAAAACGCTGCTGTTGATCTGACTCCAGCTCACGTGCCAGGTCGTATATATTCTTGTCTACAGGCATTAAAGTGATAATCTTTTCCAGAGCATGATTGTTAATACCGATGCTTAACTCTTTGATGTATTCGTTGAGCGTTTTGTTTTTTGGCAGAGCGCTGGATATCGGTTCAAATCCTTTAAAAACAAGCGAGCGCTGCTTTTGAAGCGCTTCAGACACAAGCTCACTAAGTCCATCTGAAAAAGCACTTATGCACTGCAGCCACTCCAAAAGGGATGGAAGGCCTTCCATTTGCTTTTCCCACCAAACAGGAGCGACAGAGATGTTAAGAGACCGACGCAACAAATTCCCAACGACTCCTGTACATTGCAGCAGTGGCATGACAGCTACAGTGGCATCGCCCTGATCATCGACTTTGCTGACTAAGGTACGCGCCTGAGTTTTTGACATCCCCAATTCTACGTACAAATTGTTGATCACTTCGTTCAAAGAGTGAACGTCATCATTATGCAGTCGAATACCAAAAAGCACTCTTGCCTGCGCATCATCGTCAACTCTTGATGTGTCGCGGCAAGTATTGTCCCCCTGCGCTGCATCGTCAGCATTTGATGCATCTTTTGCCTGCGCTTCTAGTCTACCACCCGGTCCAACAGCTCTTGATCCAGCTTCAGCCGTGAGCTGCGTCAAAAGCCTTGTCGATCCCACTGACTCTGTTTTCGGGCTCCCTCCACTATTAGAAAAATTAACACCATCCGCATCACTCTGAATGGGTAATAATCGGGACGGAAGTTCTCTCGTAAATACCTCGAAGGCTTCAGCTAGCTCAAACCCATACTCTGTTCCTAGTAATACTTGGTATATATGTTCCACCACTGTATCAATGATTATAGGTGCTGTCTGTGCAAGCTGCTTGGGTAGTTTCTGTTTCTTAATCTCAGTTTTGGACATTACCGTTCCTTTATGTCTTGAGCAAAATCCACTCTGTTTCCAAGCCTACAAGCGTAAAGAAAAAGTCAGCACCTGCGTCTCTACGATTTCTATACCAAAACTACTCACATGGACGTCTCCACAGTCACACGAGCTGCCTGCTGTCGTACGTTGAAAATACACGTCGTGTCCCGAGTGGTTGCTAAGCGTGAAGCAGTTTTTACACATGACGCATGTAGTGTCTAGCTGGCAATTGCGGCAGCTGTAGGCAATTTCGTCAGCCGAGAAGATGGCGCCACACACGCGCTTCCGTTCCAGTCGCGGAAGCTTGGCTAAGATTTGTGTAGGAGCCAATGCCTTTTCCTTACCATGTGCACAAAACGCCGTGAGCAGCGAATTGCAAATGCTGCCCACAGACTCACCCGAAATTTCAGTAACGCCGCGCGCTAAATTGCTATGTAGGGCGAAACGCATAAGCGTCAGGAATTCCTCCTCATGGTTCCGTGATGGTTTTTGTTGCGGTGTGGTACGGATGCTTTTTTTTGCCTTGGAAACCGAAAGCTTGGTCTTGGCGGCTTTGGGCTTTGCTGTGGCCTTGGCCTTCTTCCCTCGGATCGCAACCATCACTCTGACGATAAAAAGTAAATGAAGAAGTTATCTCTCTGGACCACAGCGCTATGTGGATTAAGTACGATATTGAGAGTACAACGGTTCAAGATCCGACTTTTTGCTGATGGTGACCCTTAGCGTCGCGGGCACCGGAAGTTGGCGCAAGGAAGATGGCGAGCTATGGATTAGAGTATTTGGTGCAGATCAAGAGAAGAAGATCGCGTACGTGGTGAGCAATTTTGTAAAAGTTGAGGTGACGGGTCTGATTTCTGTGAGTAGCAAAGGTCGATTGTTGCTGGATCGGTGTCTGCTGCGCGAGAACCGATGGGTCAAGAAAATTCTTGTCGAACTCCGTGCCTTGAGCGATGAGGTCATAAGCTTTGAGCTCTGGCGAAGTACTTCTCAGTCGATCGAGTTCCTGCAGTTTGTCACAAGCTGGAGCGTGAACTTGGCTCAGTGGACTCAGTCCGGTGTTGCGAGACGATGGTACAAAGTCAGGAATGGCCGGCAGCAACAATTCGACAGCTTAAACGAGAAAACAAATGAAGTTTCGTATTGTGAAAATGAGAATGAGCTTCAGAGCTCGTCAGCTTATATATGTTTGGCAGCTTTTGGCGCCAAAAATCTGGACGTCGAATGCTTGGAATCGTCACAACCAAAGGAAGCTACTGCCTGCAAAACTTCGTCTTTTGAATTTATACTTCCTCGCGTAGCTATTTCGAAAAGTAGAGAGCTGCAAGCAGTACGAATTGGACAAATTGTAAACGAGGTAAGTTATTGCCATCAATATTCGTGACTTTTATATCTGATGCAGTAAAGTTTATATTAATCACGCTGATCAGGTCCGATTCGATATTTTGCAAGATCTGATTCCTTTGACGCTTTACGGGCACGATGGTAATAAAAAGCAGCCATCAGCAGGAACGGTAACCAAGCTAGAGGACGGAATGATGAAAGCGCTGGTGCTACTGCAGCTTTCGTGTCAGTACGTAAATTACTGCATCAGTGAGCTGCATCAATATTCCAGGTTCGTGCAAGTGAAGCTGATGGCAAAGTGATTAGTCAGACATTGACGCTGAAGTCCTCTTGCTCTATTCTTCTAGTAAGCTTGAGAATCGAAAGGAGAGATTAGAAAAGAAAAAAAATCGAGTCAAACATCGCCGAAAAATTCTTTGCGAGCAAAAGATTAACGTGCTTCGTGAGGTTGAGGGGTCAACGAAATCGCTAGGCACGGTCCAAACGCTTCTTAAGGAACTGGACCCAGAGATATTGGCTTATTTGCAAAATGACCACGAGATGACTTTTGAAGAGGTGACAGAAAGCGTGGATCAGCATATATAGCGAAATACATAGTATTCTCACATGAATAGAGGCTTGCACATTTCTGCGATAACTCAAAACTGCCCGTCCTGTTTTGATCCGTGCGCGATTGTGGTTTTTCCCGTACGGCGGATAAGCCTTTCTTCGCGAATTCGCCGTACACGCTCACGTTTTTCTTCCATCTCCCGTTGTTGAACCTCTTCCAATTTCCGCTTTGAATCTTCGCGCTGCTTGCGTGCTGACTCGCGTATGCGTAGCTCACGTATCTTTTTGTCTTCTTTCAGCTTAATGGCGGCATCCCTTCTCTTTTCATATGTAAGAATCTTGCTTCGACATTTGCTACTGAGTAATTGGTCGGGTGTTATTTGGTAGCTATCTGTAACGCTGTTTGGTGCTAAAGTTAAACGGTCTGGAGCCAAGTGTCCTTGCCTATGCGTTGAAATGGACAAATTCGGCGTCGAAATTTTTTCGCCACTATTCGAGAAAATATGTTGTGATAAAGGGGATGGCGACCCACTTGAAGTATTCTCGTCAGCTTCAGGCAGCGAAACGAGCTCTATGAAAATATTAGACGACGCCGCTGGAGGTACTTGTCGATTGTGAATCTCAGGGCCCAGATTTCCCGCCTCGGTATTTAAATTCTGCAATTTGTGTTGTTTTGCTTTTTCCTCTACGCTCAAACGCTCTCTTGATACGTCTAAACTTCTTAGATCTTGCACACCGCCTTCCAAATCTCCCTGAATTTGTTCCTTTTCCTTCTCTGGCTCCGGCAAATCTATGATGAAATTATTCGGTCGCAGATTACACTCCTGCAGATCCGCATGAGTAGCAGCAGCACTTCTGCTACTAAGATTCTCACCAGCCCTTAAATTTTCATCAATTTGTTCCTCCTCACGACTGTCCTGTATCTTCGAAAGTACAGTTAGACAATTATAGATCAGCGAGTTCCAAACCTCGTCATAGTGTCCACACACCTGTTCGGAAGCACGATGAAGTTTTTCTGCTACTTCATCTGGCAGAATAATGTACTCTCCGTCAATCTGCATGCAACTATAAGCCTCTAAAATTAAATCCTCCAGTTTTTCGACTCTCTCCAGCGAGGCAGCATTTTGAGTGTTAGCTCTCGCCATCTCATCATTGGCAGATGATAGCTCCGTTCCGATCACAGAATCGCTGATTTTGATGCCGATACCGCCACTTGGCGGGCCCATCGCTCTAATCCTTTCGTGTGTGGTAGTCTTCTCACATACCCGCGTAACATGATATATTGCCGACTAGTTAATGTGCTATTTACCGGTACTATCATGTTTCACTATAATTAATTCGGCTGGACCACATTCAAATCCTTGTATACTTACTTCATTATTAATTCATGCAACTGATTCCGATTGGGCTTTAGCTATTCTGTCTTCAATCACCTCGTCAGACGAAATCGGCGCTGCTCGTCGCTGTGATGCCCCACCAAACACTGGCTGCATGTAGGTTGTGTCAAAAGCTTGCCAATTGCGGAAGAATGCGCCAGTAAGCGAGTCACCCCGAGACCGCTCACTACGATGAACGGGCGATGCAGTATTCGCTTCATCATCGTCATCCGTAACATCGTAAAATTGCGGCCGCGGAGTCAAGGTCGGAATTTCGTTTTCTATGCTATCTCGCTTTGCCACGGGCTGGTCTTCTTCAGGAAAGGCCAAGGTTCCGTGAAACTCGCCGTCAGCGTGGCGTGTGCTGCGCTGAGCCAGCCGCGGCACATCAGATTCTGATGCTGTTGATGAACACCTGTCTGTATCTGATTGGTCTAGCTGGCTGTGTTTATTAAACTTGGATGTGAGATGCAAATTCATCAGCAACGGACCCATCAACCCACCGATTACGATCGTGGTAATGAGTATGACCACGAGAGTTGTAGATTCAATAAGTCGACGGTGTGACGCACCATGTAAACCAATATAGTTCCAGTTCTTTGCCAACGCAAACGCCATGGAGCCACGAAGACCTGCCATCCAGATAACACTCATGTATTTGACCGGAATGCGATTGGACGGTGAGCGTAAGAAGTTACATAAGCTCAAGAGCGGAAAGATATTGCAGAAGCGAGCAGCAATGCAGGCAACAAGCGTAAGGCCGATAAATGACCAATCGATGTCGTCCACGCGAAGTGAGGCGCCAGCATTTTCTTCATTATGACCGGCAAAAATCATGACAACGGACATGCCCATGAATACGTACACAATGTTTTCACTGACAAACGCCAGCGTATGCAGCAGGTGCGTGAATGCATGTTGTGCCTCCCTTGACAGTGTATAGAAATGATAGTGCGCTGTCATGGTTCCCGAGAAGAACAACGCCACAATGCCACTGAATTTTAAGCAGTCAGCGACAAAGTACGTAAGCAGACTAAAAATTAAACATAGCGAGATTTCATAGCTTGGGTAGAAGCGCAGAGTCGCAAAGAATTTTCGTTTGAGTAGAAAAGCTCCGCCTAGAGTGATGAACGCGCTCACGAATAAGGATCCCACAAACATACCAACCGTATTCAATGCTACATGCAACAACTGTTTAGCACTGAAAGTACTGTCAGGCTCCCACTGGTGCAATGTCTGGTACAGTGCTATCGCAACGGCGTCGTTCATCACGCTTTCTCCAAATACGAGGTTAAACAATAGTGGTGGTACATTCAATTTGTCGAAGCAGCTCAGCGTTGCCACTGTATCCACAGCACTGATCAGCGACCCAAAAAGAAAAGCTTCAACCCACGAAAGCTTGGTCACCATGCCCATCACGCCAGCTACGTAAAGCACGCCACCCGTGATAGTCGTGGAAACGCTTGTGCCCAGCACAGCTGTGCTCATGATGGCCGGAAAGTTTCGGAAGAAAACCGTGCATTTGATGGAAAATCCTCCTTCGTAGATAATCGGTGGTAACAACACATTGAAGAAGAGACTGTTGTCTAGATTAAGATGAGTGTGGAGCGCCGCGTGCTTACCGCCCATAACCATAAAGAGGCCAACGGATAGCCCAAGCATCAGTGCGAAGCTGCTCTGAGATATCAGCATGCAAGAGTGACGACCCATCATGTAGGACGCCATGACCAACACGAAAAGCATGAGCAGCAACAATACGGCATCCTCCATACCTAATGTTTAATTCGTGAGTGTCAGTCAGCTATTCTCCAAAACAGAGCAGTATGTGACATACACACAGAGTCAGAAATGTGCGGTTTGTTGTGATGAGGATACCGGTACTATTTCGTGCTATAAAACTTATACGCGTCTGATCTACTTAAGAGCCAGCTGGCCCATGAAATACGTGACCTGGGCTGGAATACAGTCATATGCGAGATAGAGATAAAGGATTGATAATAGTTTGACAGAAAGAGGTAGTTGCTGTTGAGCGACTTCGCTTTGTGCTGCAATGTAAAAAAACGCTGATATCGGGAGATCCTGCTCTTTTAGCTGTGCTTCAGGTGAGCCACGCAAAACATTATTTGAAATGGACATAAAATCAAGGACTGCCAGTTGTTATGCGTATTAATTAGTTTTTCTGATTAATTAGGAAAACCTATTGCCGCAAATAACACAGATAGACATAGTTTCAATTTTGAACGGAAGAGTTTATTTACCTTGTGTGGATGATGAATGTCTGTCACAATGCGTTAACTCTCCCACGCGATCCAATTACATTACATGACTCAATGAGTGCTTTTACGGCATTCAAATCAATAATAAAAATGGCTAAAGAGCTGTGAGATGTCAGCTTGAATGTGCTATTAAAATGCATCGACTTGAAAAAGGTGTACATATTTCATTGAACCATTCATCCTGAAGTTCTGCTCGGGGTGCGTTTTTTTGTGCATCGTATCAGAACATGCAGATGAATCAGGTATCCTTACTATACAGCTAGCCAACTAAATTTTATCAGATACTGCTTGCTTCTTTTTGATGTTTCTATTGTTGTCTTGACAAAGTATTAACGACCAGGCACAACCAGACCTTAGAACATCATAATTGCTACACAAGGACAGCTGACTGCGGTACTTAAACTGCGTAAACGTCCGACCAGACCACACTATGATCGTAATTGACCCGCGGACTTAGTGCAGTGACGAAGGAAAGTATCCTGATGAAGTATCTTGATTAGTATATTCGAGTCCCGCTTGAATATTTGAACTGAATACTGTCACGAGAAACGTGGGCTACTGGTCTCACGCTGTGCATTACATGGAGAGTTGAATGATATACTTCGTATACACTGAGCTAGACTTAACTCAAAATATATTTTCCCTTGGAGTTAAATCAAAATAGTAGCTATTTATTCAAGAGCCTCCTGAATCTGCTCCTGAGTTTAGAGTGCAAACCCGTCCTCCATGTGATAGCCACACGACTCCATGAGTTAGTGTAACGGGGTTACACGTACCCTGGTGGTGTGTGTCACACGAGATGGGCATGGTGGTACCACGCCCAAACAAGAATACGGTATCATACCGCATAGTTGACAGCTAGCTTTTCAAGCTAACAAAAAGCTAAGCTATTTGACAGCTAAGATAGAAAAAGCTAAGCTATTTACTGTTAGCTTAGCTTAGCTTAGCTTAGCTTAGCTTAGCTTAGCTTAGCTTAGCTTAGCTTTTTGCTTGTTAGCTTAGCTTAGCTTAGCCTGAAATATGGTC